CGCTCGGCCCCCACTCCCCCCGATTCCAGTGAGATGCGAGGGGAGACGCTTTCCTTTGGTAGCTATTCCCTCGGGGGCTCTTCTGCCATACCGACCAAATCTGGGCCGAGCTCGACCCCGCCGCCCTCTCTACGGGACTCAGACTCTGAGTTCGAGTCGGTGCACCCCGATCCTTCTGCCAAGATCCCGGGGTTCATCTACTATTCGTCGGAGGAGGACGAGAGGACCCCTTCTCCATCGGCTCCGCCGGTCCGTCGTGAGGTCGTCGCCCCTCCGGTTCTTGTCGCCCGCGGTGGCCGAGGTCGCCGCCCCCGGCTCCTCCCGCAGCGATCCCAAGCGAGAGCTCCGTGGCATCCCACCATCCGAGCCGTTGTTCCCTTGAAGACCCAGGCTCGCCCAGCTATGACGAGTTCACCGGTCACTCCGTCACCAGTCGGGCTCCTTCACCTTCTTACCCCCCACCTTGTCTTTGCGAGCGGGGGTGGAATTGTGGCATGCACTGAAGTCTACCCGTACTTTAATTGCAAGGTGTTTAATTGTTGTAAGGCGTTTGTGCCATGTATTTGCCCGTTTTCCGGGATGAATAAAATTTGGATTTGATTAAGTCTTTTTCGCTTTTCGCCATTAGCCTTAAGGGCTACACTCGGCTCTTTCACTGAGGGGGAGTGCCGAACACGAAGGTTAGACCTTCGTCCGGGAAGAACATCCGGACATGGTCTGCGCTCGGCTCTTCCCCTGAGGGGGAGTGCCGAGCACGAAGGTTAGACCTTCGTCCGGGAAGAACATCCGGACATGGTCTGCGCTCGGCTCTTCCCCTAAGGGAGAGTGCCGAGCACAAAGGTTAGACCTTCATCCGGGAAGAACATCCGGACATGGTCTGCGCTCGGCTCTTCTACTTAGTAGTAGTGCCGAACACGCAGGTTAGGCCTTTATCCGGGAAGAGCATCCGGACATGGCCTGTGCTCGGCTCTTCTCCTGAGGGGGAGTGGCCGAACACGAAGGTTAGACCTTCTTCCGGGAAGAGCATCCGGACATGGTCTGCACTCGGCTCTTCTACTGAGGAGTAGTGCGGAACACGCAGGTTAGGCCTTTTTCCGGGAAGAGCATCCGGACACGCATGTTGGACCATTGCAAAAAATTCCATTTCATTGAATTCAATCAAGGTGTTGCGGGTTCCCTTTCTCGGGCCCGTGTACATTCGAAATTCATTGATAAAACTTAACCAAGTTCTCAGCATTCCAAGTCCTTGGCACATCCCCTCCACTCGGCGTCTGCAGGCGGAACGTTGAGGGGCCTACCACTTCTTTGATGATGTAGGGGCCTTCGTAATTCTTGGCAAACTTCCCACCTTCAAGGGGGCGGCTCACGGACCTCTTGCGCAGCACCCACTCTCCTTCGATGAACCCCCGTGCGCGCACACGCCCGTCATGGTAGCTCTTTACCTTCCTTAGGTAATTCTCCGCTCGTATGAAGGCCGCTTCTCGTCTCTCGTGCACGAGATGGAGCTCGGCTGCCAGGGCTTCTTCGTTACGCTCGGGGTCGAAGATCTCCTCCCGGTGAGTTGCGATGGAGATCTCTGCAGGGGCCCTCGCCTCGAACCCGTAGCATAAGGCGAAGGGGGTTTCTCCGGTCGCCCTTCTAGGCGTGTTCCGGTAGGTCCATAGGATGTACGGCAACTCCTCTGCCCACTCCCCTCCGCAGGCCTCCAACTTTTGCTTCAGCCCGTCGACTATCGTTCGGTTGGCATTCTCGACCTGGCCGTTCGTCTGTGGGTACCCAACCGACGCATAGCTGTGCTTGATCCCCCAGCTCCCAAGGAAGTCGTTAAAGGGCTTGGACTCGAATTGTGTCCCATTATCCGTGATTATGTGCTCGGGAACGCCGAAGCGGCAGATGACTTGCTTTGCGAGAAACTTCTGGCATTGAGCTCCAGTGATACTTGCCAATGGGGCTGCTTCCACCCACTTAGTAAAATAGTCAATGGCTACAATGACGTACCTCACGTTCCCGGTGCCCCTAGGGAGTGCACCCACGAGATCCAGCCCCCACCGCGCGAACGGGATGGCTGTGCTAATGGGGGTGTAGTTGGTTGAAGGCCTCCCTGGTACCTTCTGGAACTCTTGACACACTTTACACTTCTTTACGAACTCCGCGCAATCCTTAACAATTGTTGGCCAAATATATCCTTGAAGGGTTATCTTTCTTGATACCGCGTACGCTCCTTGGTGGGCGGAGCAGATTCCGGCGTGCAACTCCTCCATGACTTGTTTTGCTTCGGCTGGTTGGAGGCACCTGAGTAGCGTCCCGTTGTATGCTCGCTTGTATAGCTTCTCGCCTTCCAAGGTATACCCCGGTGCCCTTTTCCGGACCAACTTGGCCTTCATCGATTCGTCTGGGAGGGAGCCATCCTTTAGGAAGGCGACTATGTCGTCCGTCCAATCTCTGGGTTGAGCACAGATCATTGCCACGGGGAAAGCGTGGATGCTCGGCTCGGAAAGCTCTTCCACATTCGCCATTCGCCTGATGTGCTCGGGCGTGTCTGAGCTCAGCTTCGACAAGATATCCGCCTCGGCGTTCTCCGCCCGAGGGATCTGTTCGACACTATACGCGGTGAAACTTTTAAGTAGTTCTAGGGCCGTATCTTTCGTCCTTCGCTTCGAACTCTCCCGACACATGGCCAACCACCAACTTCGAATCACACTTTATCCTTAGCTTCGTCGCTTTCATCCCGGCTGCCAGGCATAAACCGCACAAGAGCGCTTCATACTCCACCTCATTATTTGATGCCTTGAAGCCGAATCGGATTGAGTAATATGCTCTGAAGCCTTCGGGAGCGATGACTACCACTCCACCCCCCGAGTTTTTGGCGGCGGAGGAGCCGTCGGTGAAAACTGTCCACCAGCCGTCGGCTTCAAGTTCCGGGCTCGGCTCTTCTCGGGCGGTGCATTCTACCACGAAGTCAGCCAGCGCTTGGCCCTTGATCGCTGGCCTTGGCTTGAACTCGATCAGGAAGGCTCCAAGGAACACCGCCCACTTGGACATGCGAGAGGGCGCGTTCGGACTCCTGAGCAACGCACCTATAGGCTACTGGGAAAGTACCTGGACCGGGTGAGCTTGGAAATAGGGCGTCAGCCGCTGCACGGTTGAAACCACGGCCAGCACTGTCTTTTCGGCCACCGAGTACCTGAGCTCGGCACCCCTCAGCGTCTTCGCCGTGTAGTACACTGGGTGCTGAGCTCCGCCTTTTTCTCGGACTAGGACTGAGCTTAGTGCATTGGGCGACACTCCCAAGTAAAAATATAAGGTTTCTCCGGGCTCGGGTTTAGCGAGGATCGGCGGAGAGAGGAGATAAGATTTCAGAGACTCAAAGGATTGCTGGCAGTCTTCTGTCCACACGAACCCTCGGGACTTCTTCACAGCTTGGAAGAATGGAGCGGCTCGATCCGCTACCTTGGAAAGGAAGCGGCTGAGCGCAGCCAACTTTCCGGTCAAGCGCTGCACCTCCTTGACATTTCGTGGAGCTTCCATGTCAAGGATGGCGCGCACCTTCTCGGGGTTGGGCTCAATACCGCGCCTGCTCACCATGTGTCCCAAGAACTTACCGCCTT